CATGTTTACATTTGAAAACAGGCTAATGATATGATGACATCTCAGTTGTGTTTGGTCTGGGTTTTCCCAGTGTACTTTGCATCGTGACCTGTGGTGGTCTGTCATAAAACACATGCCCACAGCACAGCTATACCAGACCAAAGCCGCTCTTCACTCCAGGTCTCTCCACTCAGCGCTCCCCTAACATTGCACTCCACAGCCCTGCAGAGCCAACGTGTATTGAAGAGTTACTGGTGTTGAACCGACGTGTTCCTTCCTACTTCAGACAAACAGAAGGCTGCTTCAGTCCATTCTTCACTTTATGTCTTACAGTAAATAAACGCCTGATTGTAGTACACATGCAAGTACACATGCAGTACTGCATACTACAGCAAGTGGACTCCCTCTGTTTATTCTCCTCCACTTTCTTCCTCATTTAAAGGAAATTTACAAAACACTGCATTAGAGCCCCTGAATAGTGTTTTAGTTATAAAAAAAGAATACTATAACAATGGCTGATGTTAGGGCCTGTGTGTGAAAAGGCTGTAGAATAATCTATTTATGATTTATGAAGCAATTATCATAATACAAACTGATAAACAAAATTAAGAATATATAACATTTCAATTTGTCTGATTCTCAGCCCATCTAATGAAGGACTTATGGAACACACACACACACACACACACACACGAGCCAGTGTCTCCCCACAGACGCTCTCAGATTTTAATTAAGAAAAAAATGAGGAAGAGCTTCCATTTTAGCCAAATTGGTCCCCACAGCAGGAAAGGAAAGAGAATAAACCGAGGGACAGACACAGGCGAAAAAAGAAGGGGGGAAAAAATAAAAAGCACAGGAGAAAAGGGGAGACGTGTGTTTCCTTTGACAGAGGATAAGACACATCTCAAACAATGAAGGCATACCCCTCGTCTCCCCCCTCCTCTTCCTCTCCTCCTCCCTTTTAAATCACCAATCTTCTCTCCTCCACACATCTTTTCACTCCACCATCATCGGGGAAATGACAGACCTGGAGCTCAGTCCACAGCGAGAGGGAGATGTCATTGTGATTTTTCTTCAGCCGGGCGACAAAATAGAAAAGACCGGTGGAAGAACTTTTGTCCTTAGCCCCATGAAATGGCTCCTGGTACATACAGTCACTCCACATTACTGGGGGTAAATTGCAGTGGACGGGGGCTTTTGGTGTTCAGTTAAAAGCCTTTAGCAGCCTGCGGTGCAGTAATTGGGTCTACTGTTAACCTTGGCTAAAATTATCACACCGGTTGTTACTGTAGGATATTTCTTTTAGCAAAAAGAAGCGTGTGCTGTGCCTTTCTTCCCCTGAAAATGTGCAGTCATTTCTCTCGTCTCAAAATCATTTTACACTGCACTGTTTCCTCCATCACAGCTGCTGCTCCTCACTCTGTACCTTTGGCTTTTGTATTTTTTTTTCCTCCCTTTCTAATTGTGTTTCTTCTACACCACCCCAGGTCTGGTCAGAAGCCACAAGCCGCCTCGTCATAAAAGCCATAACGTGTCACCTCCTGTCCACGTAACGCCAGCTCTGCTTTTAACAACTTATTGAAAAGGAAATGCATGAGGCTAAGGCTAATTATATTAAGTGACAATTTAGCAGCCAAGGTTGCTTTTTGCTCCGCAGCTTATGCTTTTTTTTCCCGTGCTGCTTCTCTGACCCCCCCCTCACCCCCATTCTCCCTCCTCTTGTCAGTAAATGTGCTTGTCTGTGGGTTTTTTCAAGTGGCACTCAGTGTTTCAAGTCAAGCTGGTGGCTCAGCGTCTGACCTGGCTGGTTAATGGCTGTTATTTGTGGAGGGAGGAGCCCACTCTGCCAATATTGCTCAGTCTCTCCCCCCATCTCTCCTCCTCAGCCTTCGCATCGTCTATTTATTTATTTATTTTTTTGTCCCTGTGCCACTACTAATGGTAATGACCAGGACGATGTCAAAAAGGATACAGAAGTTAAAAATGTGGAAATGAAGAAGTTTGGAGAAGAGGGCAGAAACGGGGACATCTCTGAGAGATGCTCAGAGAGGAGACATGCAGGAGATCTCAGCCTCCTTTATTAAAACTATTATTGTGCAGGACTTGAAAATTCCCCCAGGGCCAGGGGTCCATGTCGAAGCCCATATAATTAACTAGAGGCTCAGCTACGGATCAATTACCAGACAAGCAAGTGATAGCCGAATCAATGGAAGATCATCAGGCTCGTTATCAGTGTTGCAACTCATTAGAGGAAAAGAGTGGTATTAGAAAGAGAGGGAGCCAAAAAAGAGGATGGGGGTGCAGTCAGGGTGAAGGCTAAGTCAGGCAGAAGGACGGGGCTGGTGTTTGTCCAGTGGCTGAGGGGGGGAGGAGGGGGGGCATTCACTACTCTGCTGTGTTTTTTTTCCTCAGCTGCCACAGCCTGGTGACAGGGGATGCTGTGTATGACAGAGTGCAGTCTGCTTTGTAGCAACAGTCACTCAGGCTTGTACAGATCAATAGGAGTGTGTGTACGGGGTTAAAGCTCCGCCACAGCATCCTTATCCCCCAACGACTTCCACACTCAGCCCGGGGTCCAATCCCCCAGTGGAAACAGTCAGAGACGGTCTGTCAGAGAACAAAAGCTTAAAACCATAGAAATAGGTTTTTCAAAACACTCTTAAAAAAACTCACACGATGTGATCTTTGCTCAGAAAAGGTTGTTAGAAACTACAATTGCTGGGTGAATTAGGAAAGAGGTGGATATTGAAACAGATTTATTTTTTGATATGAACAATTGATTGCAGACAAAGTAACTGACCATAACATGTAAACTCTAAGCTACAGATGCAGCCCCTTCTCCTTTCTACTAGAGGGTGCTATGGCCAAGTTTGAATGCTTTGGTATGGGAAATGGAGTGTCAATGCACACTGTTATAAAATACAAATCTATTCACTCTCAAAAATCAGTGAAACTTTCAGAGAGCAGCAGCTGACCACTGGACGTAACAAATGTACCTCAGGGCAGAAAAAACGTCACAACTGCATCCTTTAATCTGATATCATTTTCCTCAACAGACAGAAAAA